TTTTTAGGTCTTTTGACTCTTCTAGCTGTTTCCWGGACATTAAGAGAGAGATAATATCCATATTACATTTTATGAAATGTCACCTTGATTTCCAGGTGGTTGATTTTTTTTTTTTTTTGGATGTTCTAGATACAATGTSTGGTCATCTTCCTTGTTCACACACACTCATGCTTCAGTGAATCGAATGGGAGGCAATACATGGCGCGCCTYACTCACAGACATCCGTGCTGATGGATGTCAGGGCTCAGCGAGGCAGAAGCAGGTGGTGGAAGCAGCTGGACCAATAGTGGACGACAGGCACATTTCCCATGGGGTTCCATGCCGATGTGGGGACCCCCTCCCAACTTTCCCAGAATCAGCACCAGGGATGGCAGGAGCTGGAGCGGGGCAGGTTTCAAGTTCTCTAGATAGGGAGACACCGCTGAGAATGGGGTACCTGGGGAAGGCTGAATTGGATTCAAGGATGTGTAGAAAAAGGAAGAAGGAGGCCTAAAGGGTATTTTAGGACACAGTCATTCCAATGTCCCTATAGCATGTTCTGGGGACAGCATGAACCCATTCAAGCAGAGTGCAAAGATCCAGAGGGAAACTTATTAGGATACTTGCTAAACAATATTAGTTCTTGTTGATAAAAGGTTCTAGGTGATTATTTTGTGCTTTCAAAAAGAAGGCCAAAGGCGCTCTTCTTCCTTGATGTTCAAGAACTGAGTGGCTTTCTCCTGCCACACCCTCCAGCCACCCAGGCTCTGCTCACAGGCCCAGAGCTGTGGAGTGGGCCATCTATGAGCTGAACCTGTGCCCCCTCAACCCCCATRAGGCTCTGTGCCTGCCTGAGCCTGGGACGACAGGAGTCACCTTCTTCACTGTGCCTGTCTGATGGTCTCCAATACATTCTTCAATTTTGTCTGTTCCCCTCTGGACAAAATTGGTTGTCTAAATCTCAGTAGCTTCAACCTGGGACACATTTCTCACGTCTCTATCATCAGAGATGATCACACCACMTGGTTTATTTCATAACTAGTTACACTGTGACGTCTAAGGGAGCAGGTATTTATCTCACGGAATCTTTGCATACCCAAAGCCTGCAAAGTGTTTACAGCTGAATGTTTGCTTAGTGAATAAAGGAAGAAAGGAATTCACCTGGGATAACTCACCTGGGAACTCAACAGAAAGCTGGAAAGCACAGCATCTTCCATATTAGACAGCCATGACCTGAACGTGTGAATGTTTTGCAGCATAAGGTTGATAATCACAGGGCAGCTCTCACCTTGAGAACACAGGGGCTCCTGGAGTCACATATGCCTGGTAAATAGTAAGGGTTCAGAAATGTTTGTTGAACAAGAAAACCTTAACCTATGCAGGTTATGATTTATGTGCGGATGAGAAGATCAGGCCCARAAGGAAGAAGTGACTTATCAGGTGTCCCTCAGGTCCCCTGGGGCAGCATGATGAGGCTCCTGCTCTAGTTGCCAGCCCTGGACACAGTTCTTAAGTGCATGGGGGTACGTCTGTGGTAGAGGACAGCTTTGCATTTGGTGCATAGCCGCAGACTTCTCTGTTTCTGGATTTACTTCTTAAAGGAAGTAGTTCTGGAACACCACTGGAAACAGTACAAGAGGCAATTCCATGAGTTGTAATACATGGCCAATGGTTGCTGGTATTGTTGTCCATGTTGACTGCCTCCCAAATGGCACGCAAAGTCCCCAGGACCTCAGGTCCTGTGAGGCAGTGAGCATCTTATGTGGTGGCTTCATCTGTCACMCTGTCAAGTCCAGAATTCCCATGGATTTTGCTGTTTCTAAAAACTATGACTATTTTGGGGTTTGAGGGTTTGTAAYGAGCAATAATACGAAAGTGGATGTTCAATTCACTTAAAGCTTTTTACATGTCAGCACTTAACTAAAATAAAAAAGAGGAGGGGGAAAAAGAAATGCTAACAAAGGATGGAAGTAGACCAGAATATACAGAATATGTCATATCTTTAAAAATATTCCTTACACGTTTTTAACAAAATTATCTAAAAAAAAAAAATCTTATCAAGAATTTTTAGCCAAGTCTTTAGCATTAAATTGTCTCCCTGGGGCCGATGGCTTTTGCTCTCTGCCATACAATTGGTCATTTCTGCACAATCTGTTAATGACACAGATGCTGGGTCCCTCTCTGGCTTGGAGTCTCATCCTTCTGGGTGTGAGAGTAGGAGTAATAAGACCACCTGTGTTTTTCTACCCCCTTCCTATTTGAATCTTCTCTTTTCCTCTTCTGTCGCCTCCTTTCTCCACTCCTTTCCTCTCCAGACACAATTCCCCCTGGGCAAATCATTCATTTGTTTGCTCATTCTTTCTGAGACACCTAGAGTCTAGCTCTGGACTTGACCTGACAGAGGCTTCAAAAGGAGTACAAGGTCAGTCCCCAGGTCCTTCCCTTCCCAGTGTCCCTGGGCAGCTGGGGCTGAAACACAAACAGAGGATGGCAGTTAATGGACAGCCAAGGGAACTACACCAGCCACTGSCAGGGGAGCTCAGTGTTGGGGGGTGCTGCAAGGCTGGAGCAGGCCACGGGCCCCAGGGAGAAGGGATGACTGGGGCTGAGCCCCCCAGAGGCATGGGGCAGGTCTGAGACCTGGAGTCAGAAAGCCGGGGCTTTATCCTTCCTGGAAAGCCTGTGTAGACCTTAGGTAAACCAGTCACTGTTCTGACCATTGGGTTCTTCTGTGGAAGTTGGYGTCCCTCTATCCACAGCTGTGTTGAAAGACGTGTGTGGGCTTCAAGGAGATAGCACACCACGAACAAATGCTGGTTCTGCCGACTCTGTTGCTCATCAGCTGTGTGACCTTGGGCAGGCTCCGGAAACATTCCAAGCCTCAGTTTACTCATCTATTAAATGGGGCCCATGGGCCATGCTGACCTCATGGCATTGTGAGGACTAAGTGAGAGGATGTATGGAGAGAGCTGAGCACAGGGCCTGGTAGGTTCTGAGCACTCAGCGCACCATGGCTGGTCCCATCAGCTTTGTTATTAACAGCGCTGTGCTGGAGAACATTCAAAGCTGAAGAACACTTGAGATCTCCCTCTGGGAGGACAGTTATGGACCCCTGCCCGGGGACCCATGTGATCCCTGAGGCTGGGCAGGCTTCCCAGGCCTTCCTGCTGTGACTTCTCTGGGCTTTGTGGCTCCAGGATGGCCAGTGCCAGCTCAGAGCCTGTCACGCAGAGCAGGAGGCTGTGGCTTAGCAGGGTGGTAAGTCCTGTTCCCACTTGGCTGGGAAACACCAACATCTGAGGAGGCTCAGCCAGCTCTCAGGTCAGCTCTGTCATTTGCCCTAAGGCATGGCCCTCCAGTGGGGACAGGCTGAGGCAGCCAATGGGACCCCAGGATTGTGTCTGAGTGTGGGCAAGGCATGGTGACTCATGAGAAGTCCATAACTGAGAGCCCCAAACCTAGGTACTTAGGGCATGGGAGAGTGGCCTGTGTGCTCAGAGCCTATACATATTCCCTAGTGACAGCTGCTTGTCATCACCGGTCTCAGTGCAAGACTGTACTTGGGTGGRAACTGGTCATCACAGCAGCCTGCCACTAATGAGTACTGATCACAGGCAGGTGCTCTTGAAGATGCTTCAAACTCGTTTACCCCTCCGGGCCATGCTAGGGAGCAGGTTCTGTTATTCTCTCCCCAGTTTCCAAAAGAGAAAACAGAAGGACATCCAAAGAAGTGAAGTTAGTTGAACCCACAAATTCAGATGTAACCATCATGTGCTGCTTCTCTGGGACAGCGCAGGGTGAGCAGCTTCCCCATGTGGGACCCACCCCAATTGTCTCCTTCCTGTTCTCCACAGACTCCATCACCTCCAGTCCAGGATGGGGTTCCAGTGAGCATCCAGGGGCACAAAGCAAGCTCTCACCATCCCTGAGTCTTGATTTCTTCAGCTTCAGGGTGGGGATGAGAAGCTCAGGCTTGCAGGGCAATTCTGGGGCTTCCGTGAGACCCGGTGCAGGGAAGTGCTGGTGCCTGGCTCACTGCTGGTGCACAGTCGTGGTTGTTTTCTTGATGGGAACAGGATCAGTGTCCCTAGAAGAGTAAGCAGGCCCCAATCCTCAGTGCAGTTCAGAAGACAAGTCCCACAGGGTCATCTGACGAAGGCCTCATCCCCAGATCTGCTGTCCCTCTCCTCTCTTTCGGGCCAAGTCGTGCAGCAGGTTTTTGGTGCTTGCTAAGCGGGCCTGGGATTCAAGGACCTACCTTTTCCCTCCATTCAGGCAACCAGAAGGGAAAACCTCCATTTTCTACCCAGGACCAAGGAAGACAAGCCCTTCTAGCCAAGGCTCGGGGTGGTGTCATGGACAGATGCCTGCTGGCTTGTATTCTAGTCTGGAACTGAGCTACGTAGCCTGGCCAGGGAGGGAGTAGGGCTGCATCCACCAAGGTTCTACTGAATGGAGGGTGACCAGTTGTCCTTACATTAAATGAAAACCAGAACAGCCCTGGGGAAACAGGAAGAGTTGGTGATCCTGGCCAGATCTTCTGGGCCAGTTCAAGAGCCCCCTATTTCTCCCTTATCTTCCTGCAGCTTGCAGGCCTGCTCTTCATCGGAGCCAGCCCATAAAAGGAGACAAAGCTACAGAGGTGAAGGCGGTGGCTGGACTCCCACGCCCGTTTAATGAGGAGGCTGAGGTCTGGGCTCTGATGACAGGTCCCTTTGAAGAACTGACGGAGCCTTGGTCTTCCCAGGGACATGGGATGGTGGGGGTGAGTCTCTGTGTAGCCACCAGTTCAACGGGACTCCTATTTTACAAGGCCAGGAAATATTCACGGAAAGCTAAATAACAGGTTAATGAGGGGTTTCAATAGAAAGTGGTATTAACTTTAATGAGGAGAAAACACTTTGTAAGGGCCAACCAACACCCACTGGGGCGGAGGTATAAATCCCGGCTGTGGAGCTGCTTCTTCACATCGGGGTGTCTGGTCTCAGGGATCTACCACTTGCATCCGGGCTCCTGTGGCCATGGCTTCCAAATGCCTCAAAGCCAGCTTCTCCTCGGGATCCCTCAAGAGCCCAGGAGGGACCGGAGGGGGCTCCAGTCGAGTATCCACCATCTATTCCAGCAGCTCTTGCAAACTCCCGAGTCTCTCCCGGGGGGCCCGAAGTTTCTCTGTGTGCACRGCCGGGCTGGGCAGAAGCAGCTCCAGGGCTTCTGGTGGCCTCCCTGCTCTCTGCCTCCCCACTGGAGGCTTTGCYGCCAGCTACAGCATGGGTGGGGGCTGGTTTGGGGAGGGGATCCTCACTGGCAACGAGAAGGAGACCATGCAGTCCCTGAACGACCGGCTGGCCAGCTACCTGGAGAAGGTGCGCCAGCTGGAGCAGGAGAACGCCAGCCTGGAGAGCCGCATTCGGGAGTGGTGTGAGCAGCAGGTGCCCTACATGTGCCCCGACTACCAGTCCTACTTCCGGACCATCGAGGAGCTCCAGAAGAAGGTGAGAGGTTCCGGGTGGCAGTGGCTACCCGGGAGCCTGGTGGCATTAGACTCAGACTGGCAGCCAGAACATGTGTGATGGTGGCCCTAGGGCACCTGGGAGGTTAAGAAGCATGTTTCTACCAGTAATTACTGAGGGAGGTATCATTAGCCCATTATACAGAGGAGAACACTGTCAATTAACCAGGCTTTGGCTGGTTAATTGACCCAGATGGCCATTAGTGCCCTCTGGGTCATGATGAACATAGAGTGTATGAATTAACTGATGTGTGACCTTTGGCACCATTGTCCATTTTTTCTGATTTTTAATTTCTGTATTTATTTTAAKGTGAAGGGATTGAACCTGATGTATTGAGTGTAGATCAGGTTTCCCATAAGTAACTCAGGGAAGAAAACACCTGTCAGAAAAGTTTCCTTCTTGCCTTGTCTACATCTCTTGAAAGTCACAGCTGGATTCTAAGAGGGACAGTCTATGGCCAGAGAATCACAGGGTACACTGTAGGCAATGGCTTACTTTGGGTCCCCAGCAGTCCTGGGAGACAGGAAGACAGGAAGGCAGGGGGAAGCCTCGTTCTACCATGCCGAGCCTATCCTGAAGCACGCCCGTGCCCTTCTCTCTAGCCCTGGGCTACATACCACAGACCTGCTGCATGGGAGGGATCGTAGAGGTTCCACAGTCCAGTCCCTACTGCCTCCCACGAACCCTCAAGGAGTACCGCTACCAGGAGTCCAGGATGGACAACTGTTTCTGTCCAGAGGGACCCTCCCCACCCCTCTGCCCGCCTTGGGGGGGTCCCACTAGCAGAAGGTCCTTTCTTGTACTGAAGTTGCTCCTTTCTATCCCCAGACTCTCTGCAGCAAGGCAGAGAACGCCCGGCTGGTGGTACAGATTGACAACGCCAAGCTGGCTGCCGACGACTTCAGGACCAAGTAAGTGGACCTGCCCACCCTTGAGAGGCGCTGGTAGACTTGGACCTGGGTGATGCCTAGACTCAGAGTTTTAGCTGCATTCAGTCACCAAGACACAAAAGCAGGTCTCATAGCATCAGGGCAGTGTATGGTGGCGCCTGACTTTGAAAGCAAAAAAAAAATGGAGCTACAGATGCCCTGTTCTATGCCTGCAGGTACGAGACAGAAGTGTCCCTGCGGCAACTGGTGGAGGCTGACATCAATGGCCTGCGCAGGATCTTGGATGATCTGACCYTGTGCAAGGCTGACCTGGAGGCGCARGTGGAGTCCCTGAAAGAGGARCTGCTCTGCCTCAAGAAGAACCACGAGGAGGTGAGCATGGGGAAGAGGCAAGCATGGGGGGAAGGTGAACATGGGGGAGGAGGTGAGCATGGGGGAGGAGGTGAGCATGGGGGAGGCAGCCAACTGGGGAAAGTTAGTGCTGACCCTGGTCTGTGCCACAGGAAGTGAACTCACTGCGCTGCCAGCTTGGCGACCGGCTCAATGTCGAGGTGGATGCTGCCCCACCTGTGGACCTGAACCGTGTTCTGGATGAGATGCGGTGCCAGTACGAGACTCTGGTGGAGAATAACCGCCGGGATGCTGAAGACTGGTTTGACACCCAGGTAGGTACCTGGAAACAATCAGTGCCACAGTGGCACATATCAGGCCACACAGAAGTGGCCCTGAGGTTGGGAGTCAAGAAACTGAATGTCTCAGTTCTGTTCTAACCTCACTGTGCAACCTTGGGCATGTGGCTGTCCTCTAAATAGCATGGATAAAAGGAATGTGTCGGACTGGGTGATTTGGAAGGTCCTTCTTGACTGATGATTCTAATTGGCCTCTGGAGACCTTTGAAGCTGAGTCCCCAGAAGGCTCCTAACCAGTCCTGTGTGTATGTATGTTTCAGACGGAGGAGCTGAACCAGCAGGTGGTGTCCAGCTCAGAGCAGCTGCAGTCCTGTCAGGCAGAGATCATTGAGCTGAGACGCACGGTCAACTCCTTGGAGATTGAACTGCAGGCCCAGCAGAGCATGGTGAGCCCGAAGGTGGGGGCGGGCTGCTGGATGAGACCTGGAAGCCCACAGCCCTGCTGCTCCATGCTCTGATTACATGGGCAGGCTCCAGGGGTTCAAGTTCTTGAGCATCAGGCTTCTCTTGCAGAGAAGAATGAGGGCCAGGCCCCAATCATAAATGCCCCAGTGGTATGGGACAAGAGGCCTGGAGCAAGCCATATGTCCAGGCAGTAGCTCCTCTATTTGTGTAATCACATCCATCTTGACATATTATCAGTTACTCAGAGATGCTATTAATCAGGAGATAATCTGGATCTGCAGGCTACGGGGGCTGGTTGGCTCATCTCAAATGAGATGTCTGATGGTGGTTCATCCTGGCTCAAATAGTTCTCTCAGCTTCCACTCTTGGATTTTGAGGTCTCACTTGTACTCTCTCTGGCCTCTAAATTTGTTCCTCCTTCCATAACCCTTGACCTCCCAGAGAGATGCTTTGGACTCCACCCTGGCAGAGACAGAGGCCCGCTACAGCTCCCAGCTGTCCCAGATGCAGTGCATGATCAGCAACGTGGAGTCCCAGCTGGCCGAGATCCGGGCTGACCTGGAGCGTCAGAACCAAGAGTACCAGGTGCTGCTGGATGTCCGGGCCCGGCTGGAGTGCGAGATCAACACGTACCGGGGCCTGCTGGAGAGCGAGGACAGCAAGTGAGTGCCACCGTGTGTTCTCTTGTCTTCTGAATGCCGTCTCCAAAGTTTTGGGGAGATAACATGGTGACTGGGAGGAGCAGAACACTCAGAGTCGGGAGTCCTGGGTTATTAAGATGCCTTCCAACAGCAACTGGAAGATCCAAGTTACCTGACTCTTTCTGTCTCCTAGGCTCCCCTGCAACCCGTGTGCCTCTGACTGTTCATCCTCCAAGTCAAGTTTCCCCTGCCTTCCTGCAGCCTCCTGTGGTCCAGGCATAGCCCGCACGACCTGCAGCCCCCGCCCTGTTTGTGTGCCCTGCCCAGGGGGTCGGTTCTGAGAATTTCTGACCCCGAAGGCCAAGGTCATTGTCACTTGGACATGGCCCCTACTCACTCCTAACTCTTACAGCCCAATCCCCTCTCTGCACACAGAGCCCAGGTCGAGGCTCTGAGAGGGCTCACTGCAAACACATGCCTTCGAGTTTCTCAGAGCCTGTCAGTAAGGCTGGCTGCCCCCAAGGCCTTAACTCCTCATCATTTCAATGGGCGCCAGCATCTCTCTTCTCAGGGAACAGAGACTTTCTTTCTGGTGTGTTGGGTTGGGCTTTCTTTCTAGTGTGTTCCAGTAGGTTCTGAAATGCAATACAAGGTTTCTATTGGTGGAACAATAAAGCTCGTTTGCTCTGGCTGTGGATGCCCAATTCATATCATTTCTGTGTTCGTTTGTGTTCCTGCTGAATCCAGGGTTAACCTCTGGGTAGATGAATACCAGAATGCTTGACCAAGTGTGACCCTGGGGATGACAGGGTCCTTGGGCCCCTGATCAGGAAGGATAGAGGCCACAGTGAGATGTTCCGCTTGACTTCTCTGATGAAGACCTTTTCCCAAGATTCCAGTGAGGTGACAGGTTTACCAGACCTCGCCTGCTATGCCTCTTAGCATCCGTGGCCACCCTGTATGCTAAGAGATCAGTGAGATAGAAAGCATTTCGGGCCACTTTATTAGCTTCATGTCTGTGGCTCCTCATAAAAGCTATGATATAGTACCACACGCTCGTGGTACTTTAAAGGGTATAAACACCTTCTTCCCTTGTAGCCTTTCATAAAGCCCTGCTAGATGGGTAAACCTCCTTAATATTATACCTCCCATCATGTTCAGAAGACAGAGAGTGGGCCTGCCAGTGGCTCAGAGCCTGCTACAGCTCAAAAGTTCTTGCCTTTGGGAGACTCATGCTTCCTCTTGTGGGATCTCAGCATCTGACAAGTCCTATGACCAGGTGCATGGGCAAGAGAGCTCCAGGTATTAGAAATGGAAAATGTCAAACCCCCAGCTATTGAGGCCTCAGAAAAGGGAGTGAAAAAGACGGCCATACCTTGACAGCATTGATCCTTTCCCAATGCACTCTTTCCCAATGACAAGACAAGCCCTGGGGAGGAAATAACCACCCAAGCCTAGACTGGCAGTCTCTAGGAAGGAGCCAAAGTATTGACCCTTCCCAGAGCAAATCCTTTCTCAGTGACAGTGCAATGAGACCCCAGAGGGAAAGAGATAAGTACTGACCACTGACCCCAGACCCTCCATCTGGTCCACTGACTGCTGATGACAGACCCTTCATCTGGCCCACTGACTGCTGACCCTGGACCCTCCATTAGACACGCTCTGTCATTAATTAAGTCACCTCTCAGGATAACCTACATAAGCCCAGTCCCCTCCTTCGTTCAGTGGCTCATTTTCCACCAGGGGAGTGGGTCCATCAGAACCATGACTCCATTCCTGAATAAAGACTTTCAGCTGATTTGTGAAATCTGTGTTGGGCCCCGTCTCTTTGTGCTAACACYAGGCACCTACCATGGAGGGCTCTCACTGTGTTCAGAATGTCCTCCCCCAACAGACCAAGCAAGTACTGAGTTCTAGCAGTCCCAGAGGGAAAGGGACAGGGTCAAGGCAGCACTTTCTAAGCTAGAAAGGAGGGCAGGTTGTTCTGAGTCAGCCCTCTGCTCTCTAAGATGCCAAAGGCTCCTGCTGGGGGACTTCAGTGATGTTAAGAGGGCTCTGACAGGTTGGTAAATGCTGCCTGACCCATGCAGGCCCAGGCCTGCCAGGTCAGGGTGTCTGTATATTTCAACCTGGTTTCATCATAGATTCTGTACCTTCCTGTCTCTGTGTATAGGAGGGCCTGGGCCTTTGGTCTCCACCACCTAGCTCATGGCAACCTGAACCTCCACTCAAGTTCCAGTTACCTTGGAACACCTCGGCAGATTTTGCTGAGGGTCAGGTGGTCTCAGAATCATTCACTTCATCCAACAAACCCTTACAGACCACCAATGTGTGCCAGGCAGTGGTTAGAACCAGGGGCAGGATGGGTYGATGTGGGAGGGAGGCCTTGGGATGGGACAAGAAGGACACCTGCTTACTACTTCTTTCAGTGGTAGGAGGAGTGGTAGGAGGAGGCCGTGAAATAAGCATAAAGAAAATCTGGGCCAAAAACATGGAGTCAGGTTGATGTGGGTTCAAATCCCAGCCCTACCACCAACTGCATAAGGGAATGCTATCAGGTCACAGTCCCTTTTCTGAGTATCAGTTTCCTCTTAGGAAAAGTGCGAAGGTGACACTGTGTTGTAAAGTCCCTAATACTTTGCTGAGCATGTGATGGGCACCTGGAAACTAGTTAACATTGACTCCTTGGATGCCTGGATTGTGCTGGGAGCGATATGTACTTTCCCCTATCTGGGATTTCATTTCTTAGGTTTCCTTCAAAGCAGTGATGCCCAGGACAAAGCAGACTAGCTAAAGTGAATATACGGTTGTATAATTTATTATTTAATTCCAACTCTGACCAGTCGTGGGGGAAGTCATGGTCAGCAGTACCAGATGCTCTCTTGAGCACATGGCTCTAGTGAATTCTGTTTTGTATGTCCCATTCCTCCTCTTTTTATCATTCTTCGTGGCACAAATCCCTTCCAAGTTTGTCCTAGTTCCCTTCCAGATGGCATTAACCAGATCACATGTACTCCTGCCTCTAATTATTACTTACTTCATTTGCTTGTGCTTTTTAATTATAATACTGTTTCTATTTATCCAGATGTTCTCAGCCTTGTCTGCACATTGGGATGACCTAGAAAGCTTGACAAGACAAAACAAAACCCATGCCTACTCTGTTCCCCAGAAATTCTGACTTAGTTGTTCTATCATATGGCCCAGTATTGGAATTTTTGAAGGTTCTCCAGGTGATGATAATGTACAGAGCTCCTTCAGGAGGAAGGGGTTTTAGCAATTCAACTTGGAGTATAGGCTTGACCTAGACCTTAGCACTATCAGTTCTGATCTCTACGACAGTTTGGGGGTATTCCTCAATAACAAATATTTAAAATGAATTATAAGTTTAAGTTATCATATTTTTATTTCCAAAGAAACTTTTTGTTCTCTATTCTTCTTTTATAGCATCCAGTTCTGGTTTCCTGTATGTAACTGTTACACCCATCTCTGAGATTATTATTTTTAAAAATATAGTTTTGGATTCTGTGTTGTTTCTGTCTCATTTCTCTCTTTTACTGTTTCAATTGTTTGCTTTTTTTGGTCCATCCTTCATAATGTCAAGCATTTGAACGGAGTGGAGTTTGCTGAAGATTTCCTGGGGGCTGTGAGGTCAAACTTGACATTCTCTCTCTCCCTCCCTGATGTCTCTCTCTACACCTAACTCCTGTTTTTCTCTTCTCCTCATCCTTCCCTTCCATGTTTGCCCCCAGGAACTTCAAATTCTTCTCTCCTTTCTCCACCTGATATCTTGCTGCCAAATCATGGCATGTGGGGGTCCCAACTACCCCAAGAAATTATCAACATAAAGGTATTTTTTTAAAGTAAAGACAGTTTTCTTTTGCAAGAGGAATTCTGGTGGCTGCTGTTAAGATACATATGCTTCTCTACCTCAGTGATTCCCAAAACTACACAGAGGTCTTGTTGGGTCGAGGTTGCTGGATCTTATTCTCCAAGTTTTTGATTCAATAGGTCTTACAGTGGTCTTGAAAAATTGCATTTCTAGTATGTTCCTGAGTGATGTCGATGCTGCTGAACTGGGGACTCTACTTTGAGAGCTACTGCTACACTTTATTATAAGAATATTTATCTTATTTTTTTTTTATGAGGGCACATGAATCTCAAGAACCCAGCACAGAGCCTGGCAGTGGTATACATTCAGTATCACTGGTTATGATTTGGAAGCGTGGCTTGAGGTCTCATCCCATGTACTTGACATTGCCATCCCACCTCCTTCTGTCTGACACCACTGGCTTCTCTAAACAGTTCATTCAGACAAGGGCAGTGGGGTTACGCTTGTTATAGGAAATCAAGCTGAGATACAATTCAATCAAACCCTCCCCATTTGCATGAAGAAACTGAGGCCCAGGGAGGCACACTGACTTTCTCAAGGCCACAGAACAAGCTAGAAGATGGCTTCTCTATTTTGACTTTTCTTTAGCAATGCAAGGGCTGGCTGGCCCTTTGACCAACATGTCTGGAATATATGAAAAAGAATACTTATACCCCAACACGATATTGGGAAGAGAGCGAATAAAAGCTGCAGCTCTACAACACACACATATTAAACACATGCGTTCTGTGAGCTCCTGGGGTCTACAGAGGACAGAAAACCTCTGGTACAGCAAGTTGCCTTACAGGGATGCCCCAAGGTCCCTGTTAACTGGGACACCTGCTCCTGGTCTTCTGGCTTGGCTCATCCCAGGGCTGCAGAGTGTCCCTTCTCAAAGGGGCTGATTCCCACTGCTTCTGTTCTCTGGGATCCTGAAGGGAGCCCTCGCAGAAAGTAAAAGCAGAGCTGGTTCCAACCTGTTTGACCTCAGTCTGTTCAACAGTCCAGATTCAAATGCTTGGTAACTCTGTATAGGGCACCGCGATCCCTGAGTAGAGGGACATGGTCAGGGGAGAGCATCTGCCCCCTGGACATAATATTGACCTGCTTTTCCCCACCCCTCCCTGTCTCCAGTGAAAAGATGTCCTGGATTCTTAGGCTTTCTTAATGAGTCTTAAGTTCATTCTCTCCTTCCTTGATAGTATTTTCTTCCCCTTAGTGGGAGCTAATACATGTTTGAAAGCCTCAGAGGGTCACACACTTTCCTGTGTCCCTGGATTTATGCCACTGCCGGTATTGGCGCAACTTCTGTCACCCACACATTTCCTCATTAAGGGGCCAGGCCTCTTCCCACAGGGAATAATGCTCTCATTAAAAGGGGCAGCAGCCTCTCCACAGCCCTGCAGACTTCCTCAGGGCAGGTACAGGTGGGGGCACACCGGGCAAGGCCAATGGTGACACAGGGCCTGGCTG